TGCTCCCTGAGCCACTCGGGCCTCAGGACTTTGCCTGCTGGTACCTCATGCCTGGCTGCCCTCGGTGATCATGTCCCTCTCAGCTCAGTGTCTCCTCCCCAGAGAGGCCGTCCTGAGCACGTACCCAACCTAAGTCAGCGGCACTCCATGCCCAGCCACTCGCCCTCAGGGTGTCCTATTTATTTCACCTGGTAGGTCTCAAACAATCTGTTTATTGGTTTATCCCCTGCCTCTAGAATGTTACTTTCCTGAAAGCCTGTTCTCTTCGATATTCCTGAACCCGGCACTTGTAACCGGGCACCTAAGAGCCCTCCGTGAATATCTGTTTAATGAATGAAAAGGGAGGGTGCCTCAGCTGCCTACTTGCCCCAGCACTGACGACTAAACCGCTGAGCAGATCATGAACAGACCAGTCTGAGGGCTACAAAAGAGGTTGGACTTGGAGGGAGGAGGGAGGCTCCCAGGCAGGCCTGCTGCCATCTTCAGAGCTGCCCAGTCCAGAGGGTTACCTGAAGCAGCGGAGGTCCACCATGACTCCCTTCTTCTGTACTGGACCTCCACCCTCTGAGCCCCCCTTGTCCTCCATCTTCCCAAAGTGGCAGAGCTGGGGTCCTTCATGGGCTTTGGACTAGGACAAATCTCAGTCTTAGAAATTCCATCTCTACCTCTTACTCACTGAGTGACCTTGGACATGTTTCATAATCTGAATCTCAGTTACTGCGATTAGAAAATGAGAATAAAAATCATAATAATGCCTAAGTCACAGGGCTGTCTATAAAGTTGGTGCCAGCACATGAAAAGCATCAATAAATGTTAGCTTTTATTAGCATTGTTATTATTGCTGTCAATCAGTTAACTATTATTTTTGAACATCCCCCCTCCCTTAGCCTCCAGGACCTCCTCCCCTCCTATGGCAGCCCTGCCGAGGTGTCCAGGGAAGTAGCAAAGGCTTCCTCTGCCTTGCCCTATTTGGGTACAGGATTTGTAGCCCTCCTTCCCTAACTTTGACCTCTAAACCACACTTACTTATTGTTGCAGCAGCTATATTATGAAAAACTTGTCTGTTCAGCTAGGCCAGCTCTTGGCAACAGGAGACTCGTCTACCTCTCTCCTTAAGCTCTCCCCTTTCCTCTTGGAGTCTCTGCCACCCCAACTACTCTAGGTACCCAGTCTTTTCATTTTTCTCATCATCAATAAGAAGACACTGACAAATAGAGTAATTCATACTACGGAGTCAGCGTTATCTTGGCTTTAAAAATAACAACCCAAAGGAACATCTCACCAATGGGGGGATTTTATGCACTGTGTGGGAGCTACAGGAGCGGGCAGGGCTCTCCCTGGTTTCTTCAACAACATCTTTAAGGAGCTGCCTGCCCTGCTTGCCTGTGGACAGGGCTCCACTTGGTATTCCAGTGCCTCCATTCTGTTGCCTCCCCTTTGTCTGTCTGAGACTGCACACTCCCGAGGACAGCCATCTCTCTGGCTAGCTCTCACAGGGCTGTCTATAAAGTTGGGGGTTATGAGGCCTTGGACCATGACTTGGTGGGACAAGTGTTTGTGGCACATTCAGCACGCCCCACCCCATGTGCACCCTAGGACTTGCAGCCTCTGCTTCTCTTTCCCACGTGTAGGGAGAGGTAGGTTTTTCTCCCAGCTCTGAGAGGCAGCCCTTCCTGTGAGAGCCAGCCCTACCTCAGCCAAGGTCCTGGGTCCAGCCCTTTCCCACCATGGAGAAAATAGCAAGAAAAACAGATGAGAACTGATACCCTAAACTGCAGGGTCTGCTGGGACCTGGCCCGGAGGAGCCCTAGGAAAGCTTTAACCCCCGGGGCTCCAGGCAGTTGAGAAGGGTGAGGGGAAGAGAAAAGGCGGCACCTCTCTAGCTAGAAGTTACCTCCTCCTCTGTCACCTGGGACACTGTCAGAATTCACCTCCTCTCTTGGTGGGTCATCACTGCCCAAATGTGGGTCCTGGGAAAGATACCCCCTCCCCTAGTCCTCAGGCTGGACGGCAATACCAGAGGTCACTTTGTCTACCCCCCTTTCTCTGGGTGGTACCCCCCTTTCTCTGGGTGGTACCACCCTTGAATAGGGTCTAGACATTCCCATTTTAAAGCTTGTAGGAAAGGGATGTTCCCAATCTGCCAGTCACCCACATCTAAACAACCCACAGTCAGCCTGGTGCCCTGAGGAGAGCTGGTCTTGGAGTCAGGAGATGTGGGCAAGTCGTTGCCCATTTCTGGACCTCGAGTTCCTAATCTGTAAAATGGGGATTCCATTTTGCGCTGTACTCACCTCACAGGGTGGTTACGGGGATTACCTGGGACATGAACGTAAAAGGGCTTTGTAAATGATCAATATGACGTAAATCATAGCTGTGATGGGCTGTGATAGGGGGTGCCTGGCCTACATCCTTCCTTCCGCAGCTGCCGCTCCATTGGGCTCTGCGGCGGCTCGCCACAGGGACCTGCACCCTGCCTGTGACAGCTGTGGCAGAGTACCTTAGCCTTTTTTAAAAATTTTTTATTTATTTTTATTTTTTATTTTTACAGCTTTATTGGAGTATAATTGCTTTACAATGGTGTGTTAGTTTCTGCTTTATAACAAAGTGAATCAGTTATACATATACCTGTGTTCCCATACCTCTTCCCTCTTGCGTCTCCCTCCCTCCCACCCTCCCTATCCCACGCCTCTAGGTGGTCACAAAGCACCGAGCTGATCTCCCTGTGCTATGCGGCTGCTTCCCACTAGCTATCTATTTTACGTTGGTAGTGTCTATATGTCCATGCCACTCTCTCGCTTTGTCACAGCTTAGCCTTCCCCCTCCCCATATCTTTTGATAGAATGACCTGCGCTCCTTTAGTCTCACCCCATGGACTTGCCCAGAGCTTCTTTCACTATAGGACATGTGGGAAGCACTTTAAGCTCATCAGAAACAAACATTGAGCCAGCTGTTTACAGAGCCATTAGGCTGTGTTTGCTGAGCATCTAGAGATAGCAGGGTTTCTCAGGTGCGTGTGTTTTCAGGGGCTTGGAGGGTTAGGAGCTCAGGCACAGGGATATTGGTGGCGTGCTTACAGAGCATTTCCCATATGTTAGCTCATCTGAAGTGGGTCCCACAGTCTCACTTTACAGGGGAAGAACTGACCTAGTAAGTTGCAGACCTGGGGCCCAGATATGGATCTCTCTGACTCCAAAGTATGCACCAGGCTGGCTTTCCTGCTGGGGATTCAAGAGGTGGAAGTAGGCTTTAGTTACAGCAAGAGAGCAAGGATTAGACCTAAGAAAACTTTGGGAAGGCAGAAGCAAACTGGCCAGATTTCAAGGCCCCTTGGAGCTTTGGGGACACAAGGACCCTATGATTGCAGAGTAGGGGATGGGGCACCACACTGAAGGTGCTGGAGTCATCTAGGGGCCTCAGTTTCCCCACTGGAATGATGAGATTAGAAATGAGGTTGCTTATCTAGTGCTTGCTTTCTAGATGGGGTGGGGGTGGGGTCCAGTTTCTCCCATCCCTCAAATCATTCCCCTTCCCACTCCTGTAAAGCCTTCAAGGAGCAGTGGGCTTTGGTCCAGGGTGAGAGGGACCTGAAGAATCATTGCTGTGAAGGAGAATGCCGCAGATTCCACAGGCATGGGACAGAAGAAAACGGAGTCAGAGGGAGGCCTCCGCCTCCACACCCGTGGGTCTCAGTAGCTGTTCACATGCTCAGGAGGGGACTCCCTCCATCACAGAAGCTACATTGGAAAATAACAACTGGGCAAGCTGCTGGGCTGAGCCAGCTCCTCAGCACAGAGCTGGGCGGGCCCCAGCCCTTGGCGCTAGCTCCAAGGCCAGTGCGTGGGCAGAGGACGTGCTGGCTGCTGGCTGGATTGGTTTAAAGGGAAGTGGGGAGCCCCCCCCCTCGGAGGGGCATCACCTCAACCCTGGGGGCAGGGGTGGGGGAAGAGTCACGGCCCATGGGCAGCCTCATCCATTTTCTGTGTCATCCAAATGCTTTCATCATCTGTGTATGTCATGGCATGAAAAAGCTTGGCAGCTCTGCCCCCTGACATCGTCCTGCTTATTTCCTTCAAAGGACGTATCACAACCTCTAGCTGTCTTGTCTATTTATTTCCTTACTTTTGTGTTATCTATTTCTTCACCCAAAATGTGAGCTGCATAGAGGTAGGGATTCTTTATCTTACTCCTAGCACAGAGACCAATGGCACAGAAAGCACGCAAAAATGAATGAATACACCCATGCATGCATGCATAAATGGGAGTCCCTTGCATGCAGTCCTCAGTGAACATCAGTTTTCTTTCCTGAGAATAATTCCCAATTATCTTGGGGGTGGAGAGCTGGTTCTTGAGATCAGCCCCTCAGGAGATAAGTACTGTACATGACTGAAAGGGGAGGCGAGGTAAGGATGGAGGTGGGAGATGGGGGCACTGGCAGAGATGGGACACAGCCGAAAGGAGGGGGTGTGGGAAGGCTTTTTATGATAGTGTGTCAGCTGGCCCAAGGGGAGGGGTGGTTTGTTAATCACCTTGTCGTTGTGGTCAGTTAGGAAGCACAGGACAGCGCTGCCACCCTCCATGTGGTCTCGGGCAGAACGCGTGGCTACTCTGAACCTCAGTTTTCTCAGCTGTCAAATGGGCATTCATTCTGCTGGTGCTTTTCTACCCCATGGGAACTGTCACGAAGCAATGATAAGGTCACCAGTGGGGGTGTGCCAAGCACATGTGAGCAATTTTTACTTTGGTAATTTTAGTAAGACTCCTAAAGGAATTCATTTGTTATTTTCTTCTCTGTTTTTTCCCACCCTCAGCAGTAGACATGAACCAGTGCATCGCAAGTTCTGGCCTAAATTTTAGATCCCAAAGACTTGACCCTCTAGCCAAAGACATGCACCTCCCCACTCACTGGGCCCTGGCTGAGCAGGGGCCTCCTCTTAGAGACCCCCAGGGGCCGGGTGAACTGAGGAGGGGGCCTCACACTCTGCCCTCCTCTCCCCCAGGTACAAGACAGTGGTGACTCCCCGAAGGGCTGTGGTGGCCATCGTTGGCTGCTGGATTCTCTCCTTTGTGGTGGGCTTGACACCTATGTTCGGCTGGAACAACCTGAGTGCGGTGGAGCGGGCCTGGGTGGCCAATGGCAGTGTAGGTGAGCCCGTGATCAAGTGTCAGTTTGAGAAGGTGATCAGCATGGAGTACATGGTCTACTTCAACTTCTTTGTCTGGGTGCTGCCCCCACTGCTGCTCATGGTCTTCATCTACCTGGAGGTCTTCTACCTGATCCGCAAGCAGCTCAACAGGAAGGTGTCGGCATCCTCTGGCGACCCGCAGAAGTACTATGGGAAGGAGCTGAAGATCGCCAAGTCGCTGGCCCTCATCCTCTTCCTCTTTGCTCTCAGCTGGCTGCCCCTACACATCCTTAACTGCATCACCCTCTTCTGCCCTTCCTGCCATAAGCCGAGGCTCCTCATGTACATCGCCATCTTCCTCACACATGGTAACTCGGCCATGAATCCCATCGTCTATGCCTTCCGCATCCAGAAGTTTCGGGTTACCTTCCTTAAGATTTGGAACGACCACTTCCGCTGCCAACCTGCACCCCCCATCGATGAGGATCCTCCAGAAGAGAGGCCCGATGACTAGACTCCACCTCCTGCCCCCAGCTGCGCACATCTGGGGCATCTCAGCCCAGTACTCACCTCCCTGCTGTCCCGCTCGTCTCCCTTGTCTCCCTGACTCTTCCCTACTGGCCTTTGGGCTGTGAGTGCCCTGCACCGCGAGGTCCTGGAGGAGTTTTGGGAGGGCAATCCATGGGGAAAGAACGAGGTAACCTGAGGGGACGGGGAAAGTGGGGGCAGCACCCTAACCCTAACCCTAACCCTCCCCACCTGCCTGACCAACCCACAGGCAGCCCAGCGCATCAGGCTGAGTGGGGCTTGGGGACACTGAGACTGCCATGGGGCCATGTGGGCCAGGAGGGCAAGCTCAGCTCCCGTGGCGGGAAGGGAGGGGAGTCTGCTTGTCTTAGGTGGTAGTGGTGCAGCCCTGGGACCAAGTTTAAGGAGAGGAGAATATCCCTGCCAAGATGGCGGGAAGGGGAGAAACTAGATGTCCTGACCTTGTTTTCTCTCCTGTTCTGTAGCAGAAGGTGGCCAGAGCCACTGACAGGCAGGAAGCAAGGAGCCTCAGTCCCCACCTCCCAGAACCCTGTGTTCCTGGCCATGCTGCATGCCAGGGTGCCTGCTCTCTTTGCCCTGGGGATCCCAGGGTTATACTTGGGAGAGGCCGAAAGAACGAGTCCAGAAATAATTTCCAGTATTTGCTTTATTCTCCACTAGCCCTTGGACCTGAGTGGGGGCTCCGAGCTCTCTGGAGCTAATGTGGAATGGTAGGTGTGGGCCTCAAACAGCCACTGGGAGACAGTGTTGAGCCCTCATTCTTGCCTTGAGCCTCCCAAGTAGGAGACTTGGAGTGTAACTGCCTGTCCTCTGGGCCACCAGCTCTCGGTGATGGGCATGTGCCCTCTTAGGTGACACCCATCTCTGTTGCTTCTGAGCCAGATGGAGAGGAGAGCCCCAGACATGCCAGCTCTTGGGAGCATTCCGCCTGCCTGGGGAGTGGATGAAGAAGGGAAAGTGGGCTGCTGTGGTCATGCTGGGATGAAGTGTGACAGGGTGGTCAGGCCAGAGGAGACTACCCTCCTGGGTGTATGGGCAGGAAGGTCTTACCAGAATTTAGGTACCCTCAGTACCCCTGACACTTAGCACAGTGTTCATGGGCTTTGAGGCTCTGTTGCAGAGTCTAGGCCTTTAGCCTAAACCCTTGGGGAAGGGTCTACTCCTGGCCAAGCCCAAAGCTCCTTATACAGAAGAATGAGGGGCCAGATTCTAAGTGTGAATAGCAACTCCAGACATGATTCCAGGCCCTTCCCTCTCTCAGAGGTGGGATATCCCCTGGCTCCCAGGGCGGGCCACTTGACTAATAAAAGACTGTGAACCCTCATGGAGAACGTACCCCACCACCGTCTGAGGGCAACAAACAACCTCAACAGAGAAAAAGCAATGGTGGGGGATAGGGAGAGGTGAAGAGAGGGGGGACTTGGAGGCATTTGGAGCAAGGAGGGTTCCAAAGAAGGGTGTGTCTCTTCCTATAGTTATCCTCTTAGGGTAGCAAACTCTGCATGTGAAATGAGATCCTAAAAAATCTCATATCTGGAAAAGCCCCATGACACCGCGAGCCCCCTCCCACGGGCACCTTCCTCATGGTGTCAGAGGTGGAGACCCCCTCATGGTGACACATTCAACACCCACCTCGTGGTGACGCAGTGCCGCCCCCATCGTGATGATGCTCATTGTCACAGAGGCCCCTGCACTGTATCACCACACACCTTTATTCAAGTGCTTCTCGCCCAGTGTACAGCTCCCTGCAGGAGCGCTCCAATCTTTGCACTTTCCAGGGCCCCTTGTATCCAGGAAGCCTGGCCTGGGGCCTGCTAGGCAGGTACCAAGGAGCAAAGCCATCAGTCATCACTGTGGAGATGGGAACCTCTGGCCTCCGTGGAGCTTGATTCTGGGCCTGGCTGCCCTGAACCCTCAGGCCTGCAGCACCTAGCAGAGAACATGTTTTATGAGCCCCTGCTGTTAGGCAGAGCTGGGCTATACGTGCCCTGCTGAAGGGTTGATATGGGGAGGGCGAAGCAGTACCCCTCTTCCTTTCCCAGGCCTCCTTCCCCTTAGGCCCTTGGGCCCAAAGCCCAGGTCTCAGCTCTGCCCACTGCAGCTCCAGGATACATCCTTACTAGTCCAGGGCCTCAGAACCACCTGGGGACGGCAGTCAGGGCAAGGATGTTGCCCCTACTTCTCTGACTGAGGAAACAGGTCCAAGGGAAGGCCCTGGCCTAAGGTCTTTCAGAGCCAGGACTAGATCCTGTCCTCTGACCATCCACTGAATCCCTTCCACTGAATGCCCATGCCTTCCAGGCGTCACCAGCAGCACCCTGCCCGGCAGCATCTGTGGAGCACCCCCAGGACTGTGCGTGTTCGTTGCCTGTGACTGCAGATTTGTACTCAGAGCTGGCTGCCCCCTTCCCTTCTCACTCCCACCCCTGCTCCTGGCCTCCACCCCCAGAGGCAGCGGAGGGAGTGCATGCAGCCATTTACCTTCCTGCTCATCACAGCCTCCACCAGTGGCTCTTCAGTGTGTGGCTGAGGCTGGGAGAGATCTGAAGGTTAGAGCTCAGGGAGGGGGTGGGTGTCTGCTGGGGACCCGAGTGGGGGGTGAGGGGGGGTGAGTGAGTCTCATGCCCTCACCCCAGTGATCCTTCTGTCTACGAGGCAGACTCTACCGCCTCCTTTACCCACATTAAGCCATCCTCCCTCTTGGAAAGTCCTTCTGACAGCCTGACCTCGATTTTCACTACCCCTGTCTTGCCTTGATTTTCAGCGCTCAGCCTCGTCTAGTCCAGCAGGAGAAGAGGTGGCTTCTCCTGGTCTCCCATCCATTGGAGGGTTCCTAAGGAGTGACCCCTCTCAAGTCCTCACCTTTGACCTCCAGCCGGCAGTCCACAGACGCCTCCCCCAGCACATTGATGGCCTTGCAGGTGTAGACCCCGGAATCGAAGGGGCTGGGTTTCCGGATCTCCAGGGTGCAGACACCTTGCTCAGAGAGGGCGCGGTATTTGGGATCACCCTGGATGTCCATCTTGTTTTTCATCCAGATGATCCTGGGCTGGGGAAGCAAGGTCAGAGGAGAGCTGGGAAGTTTGTGGGCCAGGACGAGGCTCTCGAAGGCCATCCTCAGCTTAGGGAAAGATGCCTGGGAAGATTCTTCAACCCCGGTGCCCCTGCCCAGGCCACAGCAGGGCCCTGCCCCTCACCTTGGGTGACGCTCGGACACTGCAGAAGAGCTGCGTGCTGTAGCCAGGGGTGGAGGTGTGGTCAGCCAGGGGCTGGGTGAACGAGGGGGCTTCTGAGAAGTCTCGCTCAACAAAACTTTTAGGTTTGGCAACAATATCTGGTTTGGAGGGAGAAAGTAGGGTGAATTTGAGGTTACAGGAGGAGACCTCTTAAGACTGACCTCATCCATTTTCTTAAGATCACTACAGCTTACACTTCGGTATGCCATTTAATCTACACAGCATTCCTTTGCAAGGATAAATTTGTCATCCCCAGTTGACAGATGGAAAACTTAGACCCTTCATAGATGAGGGACTTGCCCAATATCACGTAGTGAGTTTGTGGCTTAAGCGATGGAAGGTCACATGATGACTATGGCTCTCTGAGCAGAGAGCTGGTGGTCTGGAGGAAAATTAAGGGCGGGAGACAATCCATTTCATCCCTGCCTCCTCCTCTGGAACCCCATGGCAGGACCCTAGGCTCCTGGGGTCTTTGGGAAGCCAGGCACAGCCAACATGCCGGAGCTTAGAGGCAGAACGTCTCAAAGAGGCAGAGGAAAGCCGAAACGACAGCTGGGTGAGTCACTGAGGGGAGGAGAGAGGGGGCTGGGCAGCAAAGCCAAACAGATGAGATGATCTTGGCTGAGGGTGGAGACTAAAAACCCAGGGATTCTACATTTCATTTCTGTTTGTCTTTGGAGACTTGACTGGCTTTCTTCTTTTAAATGAAAATTTCTTCCTAATTCTGTGCTGTTCAGGCTAATGTGTGCTTTCTGCAGCCCGCACAGACTGTACGGGGGAGGGCCTTGGAGCACACAGGGTGACAGGGAGAAAGGGCTTGGAATTTCACATTTGACGCAAGAGGGCCATGTGCCTGTATAGAGACAGTAAATACCCTTATCTCTCTTGTCCATCTATGTGGTGTTATATTAGGGTCGGGAGTTTGCTTTTAGCAAACTCACCAGTCTACCTATCCGCACACATTGCCCTTCACAGTAGCTCCCTTGGGACACTGCACAGGAGACCCAATGACTGCTATGATGTTGGCAGCCATACAGCATCTTTAGAACAAGTGCACAGCCTCCCAAGGGGTGCTTCTCATTTGCATGGGTTTGCTCTGATGTGTTTGTTTCAATCAATCAACCATGTCCATTTCTTTACAGTCACAAGGTGTGAATGTGTGTGGGGGGGGGTAGCTGTGGAGTGGGTGTGGAGAGGGCAGCAAAATCTCTGGCAAGTGGGCACCCATGAGAAGCACAAAGGGAGGGGTGCTGACACACCAAGGAAACGTCAGAGACAGGGAGAAGGGTCAGCATGGCAAGGCCTAGCTTGGTTTCCAGGCTTGGACCCAGACCCACCTGTCTTCTGGATGTGGGCGAGCTCCTTGGTGACGGCCGCCGAGGCACTGAGTCCACACCGGTTTTCCGAGAAGACTCGGAAGGAGTAAGAGTTACCCACGATGAGGTCTGAGATCGTGCAGGTGGTCGGGTGGTAGCGCTCCAGCACTGTGAACCATTGCTGCAAGGACCCTGGGCCTGTCATCCTCACCTCCCCCCTGCCCTACCCCTCCCTGCTCCCCCTGTGGCCTCTTCCTCAGAGGGGCTTGTTCCACGCCCCAGCCCTGGGAGGCTGAAACATCCAGCTTTGGGTCTGAGGGACTTTAAATTGGGAGAAGGAACCCCTGGGAGAATGTGACCTTGCTGGGGTCTTCAGAGAATTCTAGAACTTTACTGGTCAAAGTGTGGCCCGAGGTCCTGCAAAGTAAGAATCACCTGAGAACTTCATAGAAGTTCAGGATCTCAGTCCCCACCCCAGACCCACTGAATTAAGATCTGCATTTTAGCAAGATTCCCAGGTAATTCATATGCACATTACATTTCCTGAAGCACTGCTCTAGAGCTTGAAGGGCCTCCAAGAGCCACCCTTGCAGTCTTCAGGAGGAAACTGAAACCCAGAGATGAAAGAGATTTGCCAAGAGCCACACAGGGAGTCAGGTTAGTGGAAGGCAGACCAGAGCTCTTCAGTCCGTGGACTCTTAGTGGACAGGCCTTCCCAGATACCTAGGCCACTTCTTCCCCCACAAACCCAACCCCAGTCAGACCTTCCTCCTCCCCTTACTCTGCTCCAGCGGGCCTCACCCCTGTCTTTTTGTCTGCCTTCTGCACCGTGTAGCCCAGGATCTCAGTGTTGCCTGTGTCCTGGGGTGGTGTCCACTCGAGGGCAGCGTTGCAGCCCCAGACATCCAGTAGCCTGATGCTGCTGGGGGATCCAGGTTTATCTGTAGGACCCGAGTGTGAGAGAGAGTGAGGGGGAGGGCTGGGCTTGCTGCAAAATCCCCCCACCCAAGATCTGGCTCTTACCACTCTCTCTTGGCCTGACCCCATTGGCCATCAGTTCTGGGGCAGGAGGAGAGGTCTCTGGGTCCCCAGCAAGTCAGCCCTGCCTCCCCTGGCCCCATACCGATCACCAGGATGTCGATGGCTGCCTTGGCCTCCAGGCCTTCCAGCTGTACTGTGAGCTCATAGCAGCCTGAGTCGGAGCGCTGGGCTGAGCGGATGAAGAGGATGGAGTCCTGGTCCCCGGTGCGCACACTCACCCGCTGGCTGTCCAGGGCGTGACCGTTGTGGGTCCACGAGGCCTGAGGCTCGGGATTCCCCTGGGAGGGAGGAGCCCTCAAGGTGAGCGCAGAAGGCACCAGCACCCCCACACCCACTCAGCTCCAGGGATCCCTGTGCCAGGGGAGCTGTCCGCATTGGCCCTTCTGAGCAGGGGCAGCAGAGGCTAGAGCCACAGGTGCTGCCTAGAGCCTCATTCTCCGGATGTCCAGCCAGCCCCGGGGCCACCTGTCCTGTTCACCGGCTGGAGAATCACAACTGAGTCATGTGTACAACAGAGGGAGGATGAGGCCATCTTGGTGGGTGAGTCTCAGGCAGACCTCCACGGGGATCCTGACATTTCCTGGGCTCCTCTAATACACCTCACACGGGGGCCCTTATTTCACCCAAGCTCTTATCCTGGGCAGGAGGCATACTCACCTGGAAGGGGATTTGCAGGTTAATCATCTCTCCCACCTGACGGACATAGGTCTGACGAAGGTGGCGGGGAACGCGGATCTTGGGGGCCTCTGCATTAAAGCGAGAGGCTAGGCTTAGCACAGCAGGGGGCTGCTGATTGGAGGCTTCTGTGGCAGGGGCAGGGGACAACTGGAGAAGGCTGCTGGCTGGGCAGGAGGTCTGAGTGTGCTCTGAGGCTGCCTCCTTGTGGACAGGGCAAAGCTCACTCCCCAGATCCAGGGACCCAAATCCTCTGAGGCCCTTGGGGACTTGAGAGCCAGGAGGTTCCAGGAGGGCAGGACCTCCACGGTGTGAACTGGTAGGCATCCGGGGCACTCCCTTGGTGCCCTGACCCTGCCAGGCTGGGATTTGCCCTGCTGCTCTGGTATTCCTGGGCTCCAGATGGGCCCCAGCTGGCTCCCTGGCTCCCCCTGGTGGGCAGCGTGTGCTGCGCCTGTGGGCCTGCATTCCCTGGAAGGGTGGCAACACTGCCTTCCCAGTCCCTCTGCCCTTCTGCTTTGAACAGCTCAGGCCTTCAGAGAAGCCCCTGTGAGACCCATTTGCCCACTGCTCTGTCTCCAAGCCATATGGGAGGATTGGAATCTTTCCCTTTTTAAATGAAGCCAGAGCAGACCTACCCCCTTCCTTCTCTCTTACTCCTGCCACTACCTTTCAGTCTGCGGTGGGGGAGTCCTTCCAGACACTTTACTTCAGCCCCATGCTACGGTAGAGAACCACCTTCCTGACTATCACCTAATCATGTGCAACCACTGAAACGGTCGGGCATTCCAAGGGAAGCTGCAACAGCCCCTGCCACTATCCCCCCGGGCGGGAGCAGGGGTGGTGGTAGCTGAGGCTCCTCAGTGGCAAACAGGTGGCAGCAGTCGGTCAGTGGCATGCAGGGCAGAGAGGGAGGAGACAGAAGGAACACGGTGTCTCTGAGGATTAGCTGTGCAGGCACTTGGCCCTGGGAGCATCAGGCGTGGAATGTTCCAGGGGCAGCTGCAGGGGGCCAGGAATGCTTGGCAGCTCCAGGTGGCTGAGGAGGGACAGCTGAGCAGCTGAGGACTCTGGACAGGGTCCCCACCCTGCCCTGCCCATGAGGGGGGCCTGGCTGGCTGCTCCCTGTTTATTCACAGCCTCCTCCCCTCTTCTCTCCAGGAAATCCCCTTCTCTCCTGCCAGAGGAATTTTAATGGAGTAGAGGGCGCTGAGTCTAGCGGACTCCTCCAGTGTTAGGCCTTGAAGTAGAGGACCCTGGCCCCTGCAGGCTCTCAGAGTCTGAGATCCCTGGGCCCTCAGGAAAGGTCCAGGATGCCCACCAACCCCACTCCCCAACAAGGAGGGCTTCCTGGCACTCCCAGGCTAGAATCGGTGAGTCCATATTAAGTTGCCAGGTGGCACCATGTCTCACCAAGACTCAAAGGAGGGGAAAGGCCTCTGGTTTTGAAAACCACCAGAAAAAGAGTCCCTGCTGCCTGGTAAGACATGAACTGGCCTGTGTGGGAGTCAGGTTCTGGGACTGCCGCTAATAGGCTAGGTGACCTCAAGGGAGTCCTGGGTGCCTTTGGACCTGCTTGGCTTGGATGGACAAGCCGTGACAGTCTACAGTTCTACACTCCCAACCCCCTGGTGCCCACATCTCTCAGGCCTTAGAGTTGAAAAGTATTTCCTTGAATCCAAACTTGACCTCCTTCTGTGGCCATGAAACCCCCTCTGTCTGGAGGCCTTGTCCAGAATTATGGGGTCAAGATGAGGAGGGGGGAACAAGGAGAAAGGTGGAAAAGGCCTCAGGCCACCTGCTGGCCTATGTCTCTTGTCACCCTGGGGCTCTGGGCTGTCCCCAGAAACCTTGGATCAGACCAAATGACTCACTGCCATTAACAGACTGAAACCTGATCGGTCCTGGGAGGGCTTGAGGCTAATGCACCCTACAAATAGAAATCTTAGCAAGGGGACAGCAGCTGGCCTCCCAGGTTCCCAGGGCAGCACTGGCCTCTGGGGATGGAGAAACCTTCACGGACCTTTTGTAGGGCATTAATCTTCTTCCCACTAGGGACGTGGTGCAGCAAGAGGCAAGCAAAGACTCCTATCTGGAACCCAGGCCATATGAAATGAGCAGAAAATGAGCTTCCATGGCCGCTGAAGGATTTAAGATTAGGTAGGAAGAATGAAATGACTCTAAGCATTGGGACTCTGAGGCAGGTGACCTGGGGAGCTTGAGCTCTCACTTCTGGAGGTCAGGAAGCTTGGGGGCTGGGCCACTCAGGGAAGTGGCCTCTTTGACCTCTAGAGGCCCCTTGCTGCTGAGGAACCTGGGACTTTCTTAAGGCAGAATGGCGATAGCAGGTGGCTTGTGCACGTAAGTGTGGGATGGGGGGAAATGACTGTCCTGTTCGCTCTACCCATTGGCATCAGTTTCTCCATCCATTAGATAAGGTGCCTGGGAAGGGCTGGGGAGCAGGATTTACCGATGATCCTTTGGATGTGGACAGGCTGGTCCAGCACAGCCGGTGGGCCAGCCCCTGCAGAGCTCACTGCAGCCACACGTATGAAGAACTTATCACCTAGAGCCAGGTTCCGCACGGTCTGCTGGGTCACCATCATGGGCCGGGAATTCACAGGCACCCACTCCAAGGCTGAGAGAAATGAAGAGAGTGCAAGGCCCTGGCTCCATGACTGTGGGCACCCTTCTCAGTGGGGTTTCCCTTCTCGCTGATGATCTGAGGAAGCTGACCTCCCTTTCTGGGACTTATTTTCCCTTTGCTTCCCTGACTTCTTGTTGTCAAATGGCATCAAAGACACCTGATGTTAGAACCCTTGAGTGGTGGCCAGAGATGGGTTTGCCCGGAGCCCAGAGAGGGTTGGACACATTTGCCAAATCACACAGCAAGGTAGGGGCAAAGGCAGCCACACGTATGAAGAACTTGACTGCCATGGAGGTGGATAACAGGATGCTGGCATGAGGAATTTGGCCAGAGCTGCCCGTCCCCTATTTCTCCTCACTCTCTCTTACAACTTACCCTCCCCCTCAGCTTCTTTTGCTCTCCACCTCCTGCTTGCCCTCCCCAAGCAGGGTCCTCTGAGACTTAGCACCTCCTTCGTTCTCACAGAGGAGTGCCCCACTGTCACCTACCCTTTTATCTCTGTTACTCAGAGGCTTCCTGGAGCTGGAGGACAGGGGGCCTCCTAAGGCCGTTTGGACATCCTCCTGCTTTCAGAGGTGCATTTGTGGAGCAAGAAGCTGTGTGTGAGTGGCTTGAGTGGACTGCTTCCTCTCCCTCCTTCTGTATCTCCCCTTGGACTGACCCAACTGCAGAGTCTGGGGGCTTGTCCCTGCTGCCCTCTAAGCCCACCTCCCCTGGGTGTATGCAGGGCTTAGCCCATAGCTCACCTCCCTCTCGGCGGAGTTCCAGAACATAGCCCTGGAGCCCCAGCTTCCCTAGCCTCTCCGGGGGTTCCCAGCTCACAGTCACCGAGCTGTCACTCACGTCCTCCACAGCCAGCAGCAGCGGGGCACTGGGGACATCTGAGGGAGAAGCAGGGGGAGATAAAGAGGTTCGTAGCCAAAAGCTCTCCCCGCGCCACTCTCCGCCAAGGCTGCCTCCCTCCTCCACCTGTCCCGCCTCTTGTCACCTTCACTTGGAGGTGCGGGTTTAGAGGCTGCGGGGGCAGGTGCCTGAGGGGCAGGCTCCTGTGGCTTGGGAGCCTGCTCTTCCCCGGTAGACTTCGGTGCCGCCACTTCTCCAGAGGGCTCTGTGGTGGGCACATTTGCAGACTCAGAGGCAGTCTCCTCCGGACCACAGGCAAGGGCTTCCCGGGTGGCTTTTCCTCTCATTGCAAGGATTGCTGGAGGGTCGGGCTGGAGGGCGCAGGTAGTAGCACTGGAGGGTCTGTGCTTCCAGGGTGCCTGGGACACCCAGGTCCAGGCTTATATAGTCAGGGGGCTGCCCCACCCCCAGGCAAATGATTCCCAGCTGTGGGGTCAGGTCAGGCAGGGGGACTGGGGGGGTGCGTGGGGAGGCGCTGAAGCCAGGAATAGCTCTGGCGGAGGACTGCAAGGGTCCCTTGAGGAGTGCACGACCTCGTCCATCACCCCGACTGGATCTCAGCAGGCAGGGTTCTGGTGCCCAGATGGGAGGAGGGTACAGATCGGTGAGATGGGACATTGCCAGGAGCCTGCGCCAGGGGTCAGGGCAATGGGAACGAGAGCTTCCATCTGGAGAATGAACCCAGATCAGGCTCTGTGTGTTTGGCCTCTGGGGGACCACTTGTGCCCAGGGCTTCTCAGCTTGGGTGCTGGGGTTCCAGACAGCCTGGAAACAGCCTCCTCTTGGGAGCACTCCCAGCTTTGTCCCTGGGGTCCCACACTCCCCTGGTCCTCACATTCCCTGGGAATTCTCACTTGTGCTGTATGAGGTTGAGGGCCTAGAGAGGGAGGGAATTGGGATGCCCAAGGTGGGCCTGATTGGAGGAAGGTCTTCTAGCAATGGGACCCCAGGAAGGGAGTCTAAGGCCCCTGGTTACCCAGCCTCTCCAATCCCTGCTCTGGACCTCAGTTTCGCCATCTGTTACAGAGAACACTATGACAGTCCCCTAGCCCTTGGGGGTAAAATCAAGTCATAAGACAGGTCTGGAAGAGACCTTGGAGGAGGACAGCACTCTGAGACTTGTATTCTTCGAAGCAGGACATCTGCATGCCACGGGGAAATGAGGCAGGTACAACCAAATTCCTAGTCATTGAGTCATTCATCCAATAAAACAGTAAGATTGGGAATGATTTAATAAGCCTGAAAATAACACGTGTCGGGGAGGAGGGGAAGTAACAAGAACTCTCATTGCTGGTGGGAGTGTAGATGGGAGCAATCTCTTTGGAAAAAGTGAGACAGTATCTAGTCAGATTGAAAATGTGCAAATTCTATGACCCAGCAGTTACACCCCCAGAAACTCTCACACCTGTGGCCCAGGAGACATGCATGCAAACATTCACAGCAGCATTGTTTGTAACACCAAATCTGGAGAACACAGCTCTCCCTCAACAGGGGAATGCATAAATAACTGTGACATGTATGTGCCCCTCTAAACCAAAAATGGAATATAAAATGAGCAAACTTCAGCTACATGGTTGATCTAACAGACATAATGGGGAGCAAAGGAGCCAGGCACAGAGAGCGATGAGACACCTTTCATATCCAATTCAAGCACGGGGAGCACCAGCTCTCTTCTTCAAGGGGTGTCTCTAGCGGGTGAGACCACAAAAGAAGGCAGGCAAGGTCAGGACAGTGCCTGCCTCTGGGCAGAGGGACAGGGAGGTATGTGACTGTGGAGTTTCAGGGGCACTAATGAGGTCTCATTTCCTGTCCTGGGTGGTGGTTACACAGGCTTTCACTGTATAGTAATTCTTTAAATTAAACAAATACATTTTACGCACTCTTTAGCTTGTATGATATATCCCCTAATTTAAAAATCAATACACATGTAATTTGTTTAGGGCCCTCAGTGGCATGCACTGAGGGTGGAGGCCTCACACCGGTGAGGTGTGGCCACCTCTCACCACTGGCTGTCCTTGTTGGGGAGAGGCAGTGGAGGGCCTGGGGAGCCTCCAGATCCTGCCCTGCTTGGGTGACCGTGCCCTCTGCCGGGTGACTCAGTGTCCTGCTGGGCAGTCCTCCAGGACTGGAGACCCGATCTCTATCCCTGGCCTCTGACTCTGCAGCTATAAGTGAATGTGACTAACTCTGCAGGACCCTGAGTCAGCCCTCCAGAGACTGTCTCAGGATGGGGGAAGGGTGGCCAGGGGAGGTAGGGTGGGGGTTGACTTCCCTGGAGGACTCACAGCCCCTGGCTTTTCAAAGACCCCTGTGTGGTAGAGTAGGCAGTGGGCAGGGATTAGGGAATGCTTGGCCCACTGGCCAGCAGTGAAATGCCAGGTACCCCTGAAGCTCTGGCCAAGTTCTCACTCTCTTTTCCTTTAGCTTGGCAGTGACCTCGGGATCAGTTGCATCTGCCCCGCCCCAGCTGGTTCAGATTTCAGGGAGGCCGATAGGTATTTTCTTCCCCACACCTCAAACCAGTGTCACAAATCACTAGGCCAAGTCACAGATAATCCAAACATCAGGGAATCCACAGATAAATTCTCTTTGGTTTTGAAGCATGCAGCTGAACTCTCTTTGGATACAAGGCATGTTTGGGTCTCTGGGAGTTCACAGAAACTGCTGAGAACGTCTCTACTTCATAAAGCCTGGAAGGCTGGCTGATCTGAGCTCATCCCGTTTGACCCATCCCATCCCATCTGGCCCCCACCTCATGTCCCAGGCTGAGCTAAGGAGTCTTGGTCTCTGCATGGGCTGAGGGCTATGTCCCAAGAGGGGAGAGACGGAGGGCTGGGTTACAGCCCTAGGACATCTGACTGATTTCAGTCCAGCAATGGAAAGGGTTCCTCTAAGGGAATGAGCAACTGGTCACTGAGAATGTGGGGGGAGGTTGGAAGGCTAGCTCTCAAGCCCTGTAGAGACTCTAGGCCTGGGACGGAGGGAGGGTATGTGAGATAACATAGGTGTCTCCTTCTAGCCCTGAGAGTCCAGGGTCAGGGCTCTCTCTAACCTGAGCCTGTGTTGGCTCCTATACCTCCCCGAGGTGAGAGGAGATGAAGGGTTGGTGTTAAAGCGTTTCCTTCCTAGTGCCTGCTAGCCCTGGAAACAGAAAAGGCTTCTTTCAACAAGGAACTGTATCGAGATGTCTGGATGACAATGACTTTAAGATCTGGAAGCCCATCGGCCCTCTTGGGTTAAGTCCATGACTGATGGGTCTGGCGATGCTTGCCTCCTTTGGGGACTTCTTGGGGCCCGGCAGAGGACAGGGTGGCCTCATTTTCTGCAGCTCAGGACTACCAAGCCTGAGAGAGAGGAATCCAGAAGAGATGGGGGAGGTGAGCCCCGTGGGTCCGGTGGGACCGCAAAGATAGACTGAAGCAAGCGCTAATAACTGGCGGGCCCCAGTGCTTTACTGAGCAGGTGCAGAATCAGGAAAGGGAAGCGGAGTGGGGACATGATTATGACCCTGAGTAAAGGTTTCAAGCTGGGCTTCGCAGAGGATATAATTAGCGTGGTTGCTGCTTCTTGTAAGATATTTCACTCTGCAGTGGTACAGCTTGCCAAAAGGGTGTCCTTAGGCATAGAGGCCTGGGGGTGAGGGAGGTGAAGAAATCTCCTTGTGTGGGGCCTGGAGTAGTTGAGCATGCTCCTTACTCAGCGGCTATGTGCTGACCCCGTGTCTTACACTGTGCTGGTCCCACAGCCCCACTCCTACCTGCCTGTCCACCAGAGCTGAGCTCAGATGGCAGAGCTGTGGCCCTCCGCATGGGCCCAAGGAAGGGAGACTGAAGCTCAACAGGGGACCCAGCAAGGCAGGTGATCAGGCTCCTAGCCAGTCAGGGCCAAGTGATCTCTGCCCCACTGTGTGCCCAAGAACCGAAGGCTACACCTCAGCGAGCGCATCCTTGATGGCACTGGTGAGAGGGAAGTGCAGATTCTGTCCGCAGAAGGTGCCCTGAAAGTCATCCAAGTCCAGGGCCCACACCATGGCGCCAGCCAGCTGCCTGTTCCTCAAGTACCGCACCTGCTCTGGAGACCCAGAGCAGGCAGGGCTGGGTTCCCTGGGCCAGGGTGCTTATGGGAGGCATGCTATCTGGACACCTCCCCATGGGAGAGAAAAGCAGACACCTGAGACCCCAAACACCTCTGTAGCCAAGCCCCACCCTCAGTGCAGGGGGCTTCCCTCCCCCTCTTCAACTTGGGGTGTGGCCTTAGGTACATACCTTGTTTTCGATGCTCTCCTGGTCGTCATACCCCCACCCACTGGTTGCCCTTAATGGCATAGGGGACCTGCTGACCAAGGAGTCTATGGACTGTGGCTCCGCGGAGAAAGTCACAGATCTGAACAGAGAACAGAGCAGGCGTGGTGTGGGGAGCTGTGCTGAGACTTTGCGGGTCACCAGGGGGACGCCACAGCCCAAATCTCTCAGCCCCTTGCTTCTTCCTGCAGGCTACATCTTCCCCTAGAGACTGCAGGCTTCGCACAACTTTGCTTAAAACAGATGCAAAGATCCCAGGATTCTGTAGCTGCTGTAATCTGAGGGCATTATGGGGGCTCTGATTAGCATCCTGCGTCTTAAACAGGGATGTGGGAAATAGTGCTTTGACACTGAGGACCGGCCCAAGGCAGCACAGAGCAGCAGAGGATGGGCCGACACAAAAGAACCTACCTCTTGGCCATTGCTTTTTCCTGGGCTAGAAGGAAGGCCCCAACTTGGTGGCCAGAGGGGGTGCAGACAGGATGTGCCTGGCCTCCTCCTCCCTCTTCTGCAGAGTGCTAGGTCTGCTGGAACATTTTTTTTAATTTCCAAAGGAGTAAAGTGTGGGTGGGGTGGGAGGCTCAGCTTCCCTGGGGCTGCGGGTGCCCCGGGAAATCTTACCTTCTCCTCAGCTCATACCTCATAGTAGGCGAGGGTCCCTTTCTCCTTGGTGAACCGGCCTGGTATTCCTGGCCCTGAGGTCGGGGCTCCCACATCTGTCTTGGAAGAGGCCAGGGTGAAGCTCCTCCCAAAAGTGGGGATACCCATCACCAGCTTATTGGCCTGGGCCCCCAGCCTCAACACATAGCTCACAGCGTAGTCCTGTGGGTGGGTAGGGCAGGACAGTTTGAGCAGTTAGATGCTGGTGGTCTAGGAGGGGAAAGGTTGTGCAGTACCCACTGCTGCCTTGAAAGGTGGAGTTCCAGGTCTAGACACGTCTGGAATTCCCTTCCTTCTGGGAACCTATAATGTCAGTCTAAAAAGCATTGTGTAATTTCAGTCTTGAAAAATATCCTCTTAGGTGTAGGAAGGGATTATTACCGTTCGATAGTTGCAGGACTCTGGTGATTGGCCCAGGTTACACAGCAAACAATGGCAGGTCTAGACTAGACTCTTGCCCTCTCAGCCCCCAGCCTTCTCTGTGCTCTCTTCAGTCTGCCCTCTGCCTTCACTAGGTCCACCCTACAGGCCCGTCAGGAGATGTCCTGACTCTTTATGGAAGTATCACCTCCCCAGTTCCCAGAGCTGTGGAGAATGCATAAACTTTGGGCCTCAGTTTCCTCATCTGTGAGGTGGGCCCTGTAACCCCTCCCTTGCAGGATTACTGAGGAGTGGAGAGGTTGGTGTCTGAGCTCTGGCAAGTGGCATGTCTGTGGTCCCCTCTCAGCCCTCCCTCCTTTGGGACACTCACAGCATTGCTGAATCTGTCAGAACTTGTATCTTCCTGGCCTCGGAATAGGGGGCTGTGATGTGCTATGGTCTGGCGCCACGCTCCATGAAAGTCGTAGGTCAGAAGGCTGATGAAGTGCAGGTGTCTGTGGAAGAGTGGATGCAGGGCAAGGCGAAAAATTGAAAAAACGCACCACCCTAGCAGGATGTGAGCTGGAGAAACAGGCAGCCAAGAGAAAAGCCATTAACCCCAAACCCAGTAGAACCCAGTGACCCACTGTCTAGGCTGCTGGACCACCTCCCTTGTGCCACACTGGGAAGTGGGCTCAGGGTCCCACAGGAGCATTCAAGGCAAGAATGGGGTCCTTCCAATCCACCCCCAGCACACATTTGGGAGCTGGCCTCCAACACACGTCACCCCCTCCACTCCAGCCACATTCATCTTTGAGAAAGCCGATTACAAGTGGCATCAACAGCTAGCCTTGTCGGGAGAGAGAAGGACCAAAGGATGGCCTGAACCTATGATTCCTGCTGGTGGGAAGTTAGGTTTCCACACACAAAGGTGGAGGGTCTGCAGGTGGATTGCATGAACATGAGCTTCAGGTGTTTGGGGCAAATGGTTGAGAGCCACCTCATTCCCACCCTCTAAGTGATCAATTAAAGCACCAAGTCTACACTCCCTAAGACCCTAAAGAAGATTCTAAAGTCAGAGCGAAGAGTCTTTGTCTCTTACTCTTGGGTTTCCTAAGACCCATGCCTTTGTCCCACCGAGAGATCAGCCTGCTTGGCTGGGGACTGCTCATTCTCATGCATGAGGAGGAGGGGCGGGATGAACAGGAAAGGGAGGGGGTCACCTGCATGTGGCAGCACCGTGAGGACTCCCCAGCAGCCTAGAAATGAAAGGTATCATTACTGCTGCCTTGCCCCTCCAGAGACTAGTGACTGGCTGGTTTGTATAACTTTCCCTGCTTCCTGTTCCACAAATACATACATTCATAACGACTTTCTCAACTGAGCAGCGCAATACCCCAAATGAAAAGGAAGGATAGGGATCGTTATGCCCCGTTTGACAGATGGGGAGGCTGAGGCACACAGAGGGGAAGTGACTTGCTCAAGGTCACACATCTTTGGAGAAACTGGGACTAGAAGCCCAGTCTTCTGGTTGTACATGGAGTGCTAGGGCAGAGTGCATCAGGAAGGAGATTCACCGGGATATCTGGGCGATGTCATAGCCTCTGTCAATGGCAATCTTCCCAGCAGACACTGCCGCGCTGAGCAGGAGTTGCTCTGCTCCTGCCTGGGCTTCCCTTGCAAACTCAGCCTCCATTTCCTGGTTGGGAGAGAGGCAGGTGAGTGACAGCAAGCTTGAGGCGAAAGATCTCTGAGCATGTCATTGGCCTTCGCTGTCTGCTGTAATCTCCAACCTGACTGGAGCTCAGTGGGAACGATAAAGAGGTCTCACCCTCAGATTCACCCATCTTTTTCCTAAAAAACTGTTTGGACCCATCTCATCCCTACGCCCCGCGCATACTCGTCAACACTCAATTACTCTCTGTCCTGGAGGGACCGTGAGGATAGAGAGTGACCCCACTTGGTCCACAGATGATGCTGGAAGATATTTACCTGTCGGTCTGTGCTTTGTTCAAGCTTATAAAGAAGAACACAAAATTAAAGTGATTTATATTGTACCGTGAACAGTTTGTTTAAATGATCACTCTGTCCCTGGGGTAACTGAGTACCTCTGATGCAGTGCATGCTGGGGAGTGGGCAGTGTTGGTTTGGGAATGAATGCAAGCAGTGAGGAATGGGTTCTCCGCTTAGTGACCTCTGCCTCTTAGAACCCCACCCTACCTCCCACTGTTGTCAAAAGATGTCTTCCTTGCTGTGTGAGATCTCAGGACACAGGCTTGTTTGTCTTATCCCTGGTCCAGATCTCAGGACCCTGCAGCAAAGAGGCCTCAGTCCCCCTTTGCCTGCCTCAGGAGAATATCTCTGAAGACAGCTTCTGCCCTCCCCACTCCCTGATGCTCCCTACCTCCCTGCCCTTTTCCCTGACCCAACCAGCACCTTGACCAGAGTGGTGAGATGCTGCTTGTCTCTCCGCCCGGGGTTGAGCCAGGCTAGGTCCAGTCCATCAAAGCCATGGGTCCGCAGAAATGGTGGCACCGACTCGATGAAAGTTCTGCGACTCCAGGTGTTGGAGGCTATTTTGGAAAATCTAGAACCGAAATCAGCCCAGTAGAGGGCTCAGTACCAATACACTGGGTGCCTTAGCCCTCTGGAAGGGTCTCTGGGGCATGTGGAGCTGGGAGTCTGAACCCACACAGCTCTAGAAGGGCATGGTTGGGACAGGACCCACCTCCAATTATCTTAGAAAGACCATGTGCTTTGGAGCCAGATATCCCTGGCTCTATCACCTACTAGCCAAGCCACTTTGAGCAGGTTAAAACCTGAGCCTCAGTTTTCTCATCTATAAAATGGGCATAAATATAACATCTCACAGTGCTATTATAAGGATTACATGTGATAATGGTTGGATAGGATGCCTGACACATAGTAACAGCTCAGTAAATGAGAGCTGCTATGGCCATCTTTGCCCCCTTTTTAAAGCCTGCTCCAATCCTACCCACTCCAGGATGTCCTCACAGGGTCTCCACTCCCAAATTTCCCATTCATTCCATCTCTCTCCTTCCAGCCCTTAGGACAGTATCCCTCGCCGCCCCAAATTTCTTTGTTTTCATGTCTGAGAAGTAGTAAAAAGAGCATTGGCTGCCACCTTGCTGTGTGACTCTTGACAAGTTCCTTTCCCTCTCTGCGCTCTGATTTCGTGGTTGTACGTGAGGCAGGCTCCTGACAACCATTCAGACCCCTGTGCCTGACCAGTCTGGGGTCCCTGTGATCCCCATCCAGTGGATGAGGAGAAAGCTATGCCTCCTCCTATTCCATCAACCTCTGGAGGATGAGTCATCCTACCTTTGAGAACCAAAGTTCCATCCTCCAACAGATAGAAGGGTCTTCAGGCTGGGATTCCTGTGGGGCACAGGGAGGCAGGAGGGCAGGGGTTGAGTGAGGTTGTTGTGACATGGGGTGGCCCCACGTTTAGGAGGCTGTATCAGGCTTCTAGCTTTGGGTGGGAGGCTGAATCAGGCCTCTGAGGTCCTTCCAACCCTGAGATTCAGTATTCTAAGACTTTCTAAGCATTTGTGGCAGTTACTCAGAAGTATGTTGCCCATATTTGTTCCCTCCGGTGGGGAATATGGCAAAATAGAGTCATGAGCACTTTCTCCGTGGAGAGGCACCCTCAGAGGATGGAGAGGGGTCCCGTTCCCAGGGGAGCTCAGCTGTGCCTTCTTCTACGGTCTTCTTCTACACCCTGACACCTGCCCTCATCACTTCTTCCCACTTAAGCCAAGGCCCTCCAGTTCTCCACCCAGAGGTGAGTACTGGGGACCTCGCCCACCCTCTTGAGCAGGAGTACGCTGCCCTGAGACCAGCCCTGCTAACCCTCCATCTTCCTTCTTCCCTGGCCAGCCAGTGGCCCAACCTGTTCTTGAGTGTGTTCAGTGTGTCATAGAGTGTCACATCATTCCACTCCCAGGTGTCGATCGCATTGTTGCTTATGTTGGCAAAGCTGTAGAGATGTGGGTACAGAGGAAGGGGTCGATGGCATCTGGGAAGCAGCTCCCATCTCCCTCCCGGTACTGGGACCAGCTGGTGTAGTAGCAGATCAGCTTGTATGCAGCACCTGAGGAGAAGGCCAAGATTGAGCCAGGGACCCTCTGGCTGAGCCCTGAGCTGAGCACTAATGGGGTTTTGGGGGGTGGGGTTGATGGGCAGAATTGTGAGCAAAGTTAGAATTCTAAATGCAAAGGGCTGGCTCAGGGGAGTTCTCTGTCTGACGAAAACAAGGTCTATTTTGAAAATGCTTAGAAAAGATCAAATATAGTAGATAAACATACTGCAGACTAAGAACAGAACACTGTATGGGGTGAGGGGGTGCCGATGAATAAAGATGAAATGGGACTTGGTACAAGTAAAGAAGGCTTCCTGGAGGCAGCGACTTTGAAGGAGAAGAGGGACCCGACAGCCATATCAGAAGACCCTGGCCTTCAGGCGAGAGTCTTGCAGGACCTTCAGTGGAGTCCTTGATCTGGGAGGCTCTGGCCCATCTGTTCTCTGCCTTCCCGTGGGAGTGCCCCTAACTTGTAACCCACCCAGAATGGCATCCCCCAGGCCCCTTCAGTCCATCCCCCGAGCTGGGGCACAATATCCCAATGGACCCGGAAGTTCCTCCTCCCCGCTCATTCTAATTTTTCCTGCTGCAAAGTAGGCCTTTTCTGCCCTCTTGACTGTGGAGGAATAACTGGGCATCACTCATCCATGCTGCTACTGGTCTCCTGTTAGTTGTTCCCAGTAAGCGATTAGTTGAAGCCTTCATTGAACCTGAGCCTTTGAAAGTTTTTAATTTTCAAAAATTTTAAATATACAGAAAAGTAGAGAATAGTATAATCAACACCTATATACTCATCACCTTGATTAAACAAATGCTAATATTTCTGAACCATTTGAATCACAGAAGAAACTGGAAAAGTGCTACCTCAGTGGCAAGGTCCCTTCCACACAGCCCTCACCACACCCCCACCACCCGTGACTTAAAAGGGGTTACTTACAGCTCTGGGGCAGCACCAGGACCACAAAACCTGAAGGGAAATCCAGGGTGAGACCCCCTGCAAGTACCTCCTGCCCTTCCCCCTGCTCCCTGCACCCCCCACCATAAAGGAATCGAGGGCCTCCTCACACCAGCCTCCTCTTCTCTCTCCCCACCGACTCTGCTACCCCTCCCACAGCAGGTAGGAGGCCAGCCCCTCTGCGGAGCGGCTCTGTGGCCAACCCAGAGACCTGTCTGAGCCACCCTCAGACCCATCCTGGCTGCAGCAGAGGGGGGCACGGCATAGCCTCTTCCTTTGCCCTCAGGCTCCTGGTGCCCAGCTGCCTAGACAGGACGCTTCCCTGGGCATCCAACTTCCTCTTATACCTGTCCCACTCCACTCCCCCGCACCCCAAACCATGCCATGTACAGAAACTGAGCTGCGTGTCAGTGAAGGAACTAGCAGGCTGGAAAGTGGCGGGGCCGAGCACTGAGGGCTGCCTGAGGTGGATTGAGAAACCCTGGAGAGTTCTGAAAACGTGGGCCAGGTCTTCCTGAGGCACCTGCCGGCAGAAAAGCCACCAGGTGGATGATCTGGGGGCTCCTGTGGCCAGTAACTCAGCCTCCCACTCAGTTTCCTCCAAAACCCAGCAGTTTCCGGGCTTTTCGGGCAACCTCTACTTTTGCCTCTCCAGCCCTCTGTCCGGGCCCTTGGCCAGGTTGAAACTGGGCACAATTGAGTTCTGTAACCAGCAGTAACCCCAAAAAAGGCTGTTATTTATTCTCTCCCTGAGCCCAGCAGCACCCTGCCTGACCCACTTTCCCCCTCGCCAAGCTGTTTCCCACAGCCGGCCTGTGCTGATTATTTTAAAGAAAGGCTGGAGAGGAGTGGGAAATTGCTGAGAACGCTCTGAGACCTGGTGCTGCTTTGCTTCCTTTTTGAAAGGCCCGTTAAAATGAGTATGAATCTGGCAAGCCTGGGGCTGCAGTGAAGTACCAAGGAGTAAAAATTCAGGGAACTCTTGATTTCCCCCAGGAGCAGAAAATCTCAGGAGATAAATTATCTCCACACTCTCAGCTCCTCTCTGTTGAAACCTAAGTGTAACGATGCCACCCCTTTCTAGATCCCTCAGTGATTTCTTATCGCTCTTCAGATAAGAACAAAACTTCTTAACAAGGCTCTGCATGATTTGTTCCCTGTTTGTGGATACTTTTTTTGGGCCAAAGATCCTGGACAACTCCATTCTTTGCAGGCTATAAATTAATTAACAGGCCGGGAGTGAAAAGTTCAGAACTCCAATTGCCAGAATGGGACAGAGGGCTTCTGAACAGATACCTTTCTTTTTACAATCATATTAGGTAATAATCCAATGTTAACCACACTGATTTCACAGCCCTCTCTTGGTGAGGTCTCTCCCTCTGTCCCCCTTCTCTTCCTTCCTCTCCCTAGAAACTGAAACATCTCTTTATTAAGAGAAATCGTCAGAAAGCAGTTTGTCCAGAGTCATACTCACGAATACTAAAGGGTCATGGCTTCACCCTCTTAAGGCAACTAGCCTTCTTTTGTACCCTAGATGATTGGCAGCAATGATAGTCCATGATAACTTTCCCTTGTTTGTTTAGGGCACTGGGAAGTGGACTTCCTTTCATCTCTAATAGAAGTATTACAAAGTAGTCGGCACGTAAAAATGTTCATAACAGGGTGCAGGATGTTAAGAAAACACCCAAGTTCACTCTCTTCCTTTGTTAAAAATTACTTCATAGGCACAGATTAGCCCAAGCCTTGTCCTGTGCTCCCCCAAACCCAGTTTATTAGTTCCACATGTCCTGCATGAAGGTGGCATTGTCATAACAGCCAAGACATCCCCTGGGCCTGCCCCAGCAGGATTGGCCAGGGGTCCCATGGCACATCACCTCTCAGCTTCATCTCACGCCATGCCCCCTTCACTCCCTATAACTCATCCATTCATGCCTTCCTTCTTATATTTGCTCTACTCTCTCCCACCATAGTGCCTTTGTATATGTCATCTACTAGCCTGTCAATAACTATGAAGGGCCTGAGGTTTTATACTACTTGCAAGTTAGTGAGATGACAGAATCTCATGGATTCTGGCAGAAGACACAAGAACCCGAGGTCGGAGACAAAGCGCTCATTCGTGGCACGTCAAGCAGCATGGACTTCATGTTTGCATCACTTCCTGTGAAGAGGCAGCTGTTTTGAGCTGCTGCCCAGGCAGTTTACAGGATAACTCCGCTCATACCCAGAGTCTGGACATTTAGATAAGGACCTGAGTTTAGGATTCCAGCCACAAGGTCCTGCTTTGCATTTCCCAGGACACCTTTTAAAATAAGCACTTAAAGTTGAGCCCTGGAAAAGTTAGTGGTGCTCCCCAACCACCTTATAAGTAAAAGGTGCTTACTCTCTGTCTCCTGCTGGCTTGTGACCCAGGACAGAGGACTGACCCCGCCCCCAGCTCAATGCACACCTCCCTCCTCTGTTTCTGGAATCTGAAAGTAATACATCTTGTCACTTTACTTTCTTCGTGTGAGTGTATTGAAACTGTGCCTTCAATCAAAACTGCCCTGGGGTTTTCATTTCCCCAAAGTGGAAGCTCAGACAGTGAGGGAGCTACCTGCCCACCCTGTGTGTACGGTTTGTGCATCCTTATTCAGCAGGTCATACTCTGCATATTCTTAATTAAACACTCCTACTCATCCTTCAGATTGCAGCTCAGCAGGCACCTTTGGAAAAGGCAGACTCCCTAGTGAGGGAAAACCCCTATCGGGGCTGTCAGTGTACTTTGTACCTCTCCTCCTAGCACGTGACTCGGTTATAATTTTACATCTCGTGTGTCACTGTGGATGTCATTAATGTCTGCCTCCCTCACTAGACTATAAACTCAGTAAAGGCAAGGACTGTGTCTGTTTTATTCACCTTTGTGTCCATCCCTAGTGCTTGACACATAGTAGATGCTTAGTAGTTATTGAACGACTGAAAAAATGAATGATCTCAAGATGGTACATAACTCCAAACTCTTCTATTTTGTTTGGAACCTGAAATTCTAGAAATTTCATCTCTTTCCGTAGTTCTTGTCACCTTGTGAATAACCAACTCAGGAGGTAAGATGAAATCGCAAAAGAAACATCCTGACAATTTCCCTGGTCCCATTGTTCTAAGCCCCCACGCTGCTCTTATCATTCGTTTACTCATTCAACCAATGCTTACTGGCACGGCACAGTTGCCTTGCACCGTGGGAGGTGGTGAGGGCAGAAAGGTGAGTGAAAACAGAGAATCAGTGCCTGTCCTCATGAAGTACATGGTCTGGCAAAGAACATGGACATTAAACAAAGGATAGCATAAATAATTTATTACAACTGTGAAAAGTTCAACAAGGCAATTCTGAGGGTTAGGAGAGTTTATAAAAGGCTACAGGTGGTCAGGGAACTCTTCCTTGGGAAATGATGTTTCAGCTGAATTGTGAAGGAACAGGTACTAGCTTGGCAAAAACATGTGAGGCAGGAGAAGCAGAAGAAGCCTGGGGTGGGAAGAGGCTGCCAGGCTCCAAGACCTGGGAGGATTCAAGAGTGGTTGAAGCATGAGGTAGGGCAAGAGAGGCACAGATGAGACGGGTGGCCTCTTAGGTGTAACTGTTTTGAGGATCCGTTCCTTTTGCATGGAGTGTCAGAGCAAATGAAGGTGGTGTTAACATCCCGCCAAATATCTGAGGGGAAGTTCTTTATTTACAGGCAGGTGTCTTCCTCCAAGTTCATTTCCAAATCCTCAGCTCCAGCATATGGTGTTAGTGTCAGCACATAGTAAACGCCGTCAAAGACTCAGAGACAGAAACATTTGGACAAATAAACAATTTACTGCAAAAGGTAAAAGGGAGTCCAAGTTCAGAAAGAAAGATTGGTTTGTCAAATACAAATCACAACAAGTATTTAAAGGGAAAAAAAGATGACCAAGGCTACAATATTCATGGTAGAAATCAGCAGCTTTCTCACATGTCCATCATATTCACAGTTTATCTTCACTTGTTAGCATAGTAAAAATCAAGGAGAAAATTGTTTTTGCCAGAGTCCATATTTATGAGAAATAATCAGAGTTTATTATTTTGGAGTCCTGAGCCAGCCACGATAGCCTGTTGTTTTCGGATTATCTCCAGATGTAGAATGTCCCCACCCCCACCCCGCAGTGGTGCTCAGTCATGAATGAAGCAGAAACAAGTGTCAGGTTTTGCTTCTGCAGTTTTTCTTTTCCTGTGGGCAAGTTCTTGCCTTTGAGAAAACCTAAGCCGATTAACAGTTTTCTGACTCAGTGTTATTAAATTGATATTTTGTTTTATTTGACTAAAATTTATTTCCACAGGCATAACAAGAGGAGCTGATGTAACATAGAAACACTTCCTTTTTGAGTGGCTAACAGAATTAGAGCCACATGACATTGAGGCTTGACAGTGAACTTCTGTCTGGAGGCTTGTAAAACTCCTAGGGCTGGGAATAACTTTTGTGTCAGAAGAAATTTTACCATCCTTATTAGCACTATTTTCTCTAAGATCCCCATATTTGTTAATATGCCTGCCAGGAAATGAAATTTTTACTACCTGTAAGGCTGGAATTTCATAAGTCATAAAGCCATCCCCTCCTGGGAGGACTTCATAGATGTCATTCTCACATGTAAAATGTAGTCTTTGTTCCTTAATAAAGGGCTTATCACACCTAATTAAATGGAATTTTTGGCATAGTGAATATTTAATTATATTCTGGTAAGAAAAAGGACAGATTCTTATTGAACCTATATAAATAATCTACATGACCATAAGTACTGAAATCACTCTAGAGGTAAATAAGGTACATCAATTTGGTTCCATTGCCTCAAACTTATAAAATAGGGAATTAGGCCATAAAAAGTATAGGAACTGGGGGGGACCTTCAAGATGGTGGAGGAGGAAGATGTGGAAATCACCTTCCTCCCCACAAATACATCAAAAATACATCTACAAGTGGAACAACTCCTACAGAACACCTACTGAAGGCTGGCAGAAGACCTCAGACTTCCCAAAAGGCAAGAAAATCCCCATGTACCTGGGTAAGGGCAAAAGAACAAAGAAAAAGCAGCGGCAAAAGAATAGGGACGGGACTTGCACCTTTGGAGGGAGCTGTGAAGGAGCAAAGGTTTCCACACACTAGGAAGCCCCTTCACTGGTGGGGATGGGAGGTGGGTGGGGGAGAAGCTTTGGAGCCATGGAGGAGAGCACAGCAACAGGGGTGCAGAGGGCAAAGCGGAGAGATTCCTGCACAGAGGATCTGTGCCGACCAGCACTCACCAGCCCGAGAGGCTTGTCTGCTCACCCGTCGGGGCGGGTGGGGGCTGGGAGCTGAGGCTCAGGCTTCAGAGTTCATATCCCAGGGGGAGGACTGGGGTTGGCTGCATGAACACAGCCTGAAGGGGGCTAGTGCACCACAGCTACCCGGGATGGAGTCCGGGAAAAAGGCTGGAACTGCCGAAGAGGCAAGAGACAATTGTTTTGGGGTGAGCGAAGAGAGGGGATTCCTTCCCCGTCTGCCCACAGAAGGCAGAGCACCACCTAAATGACCTCCAGAGACAGGCACCAGCCACGGCTGTCAACTCAGACCCCAGAGATGGGTATGAAATGCTAAGGCTGCTACCACTGCCACCAGGAATCTTGTGTGCAAGCACAGGTCACTATCCACACCACCCCAGGAGCCTCTGCAGCACACCACTGCCAGGGTCCTGTGATCCAGGGACAATTTTCCTGGGAGAACACACGCCACGCCTCAGGCTGTTGCAACGTCACACCGGCCTATACCACCACAGGCTCGCCCCACGTTCCAGTTATGACTACCGTACCCCTCCCTCCCCCTGGCCTGAGTGAGCAAGAGCCCCCAATCAGCTGCTCCTTTAACCCCCTCCTGTCTGGGTGGGAACAGACGCCCTCAGGAGACCTACATCATAGGCGGGGCCAAAACCAAAGCTGAACCCCAGGAGCTGAGCAGACAAAGAAGAGAAAGGGAAATCTCTCCCAGCAGCCTCAGGAGCAGCGGATTAAATCCCCACAATCAACGTGATGTACCCTGCTTCTCTGGAATACCTGAATAGACAACAAATCACCCCAAAATTGAGGCGGTGGACTTTGGGAGCAACTGTAGGCTTGAAGTTTGCTGTCTGCAACTGATTTGTTTCTGATTTTTATGTTTATCTTAGTTTAGTTTTTAGCACTTGTTATCACTTGTGGATTGGTTTATTGGTTCGGTTGCTCTCTCTTTTTTAAAAAATTATTATTTTTTAATGTTAATAATTTATTAAATTTTATTTTTTTTAATTTTTTAAAATTTTTCTTTCTATTTTTCTCCCTTTTCTTCTGAGCCATGTGGCTGACAGGGTCTTGGTGCTCTGGCCTGGTGTCAGGCCTGGGCCTCTGAGGTGGGAGAGCTGAGTTCAGGACATTGGACCACCAGCGACCTCCCAACCCCATGTACTATCAATCAGTGAGAGATCTCCCAAAGATCCCCATCTCAATGCTAAGACCCAGCTCCACCCAATGGCCAGCAAGCTCCACTGCTGGACACCCCATGCCAAAAAACTAGTAAGACAGGAACACAACCTCACCTGTTACCAGAGAGGCTGCCTAAAATCATACTAAGTTCACAAACACCCCAAAACACAACACCGGACATGGCCCTGCCCACCAGAAACACAAGATCCAGTCCCCCCCAACAGAACACAGGCACCAGTCCCTCCCACCAGGAAGCTTGCACCAGCCACTAGTTCAACCTCACCCACTGGGGCAAGACATCAAAAACAGCAGGAACTATGAACCTGCAGCCTGCAAAAAGGAGACCCCAAACACGATAAGTTAAACAAAATGAGAAGACAGAGAAATATGAAGTAGATGAAGGAGCAAG